TGGGACAGCTCTGCTCTGGAACATGTGGCACGTCTCACTGGAGTGGAAAGTGTGTCACACCCGGGTGTCCCTGCAAAGGCCACAGCTGAGGAGGCAGCTTGTGCTGGGTTTTACACTCCAGCCACATGCTGGGGACACCCAGGTGGCTCTGGGCTCTCGTCGGCTCCGTGTGTCCTGAAATGTAAAATCAAACCCAATAAAACCCCCTCAATCCTAGAAAGAATCTTCTGATGATGAGAGTGAGGGATAGCAGAGAGCACAACAGTCAAAGCACGTTATGTGCTGCTGGATGTGGGAAGAGCTGCCAGAATAAGGAATTTGGAGGTTGCTATTCTGATAATTTCAAGGATTCCCCTTCTACTTTTCTCTCATGGGATCTGTTGCAATAATCAATATTTGCACAAACCCCATCTTAAATTTCCCCCCCTAATTGATGTCTGACACCTCAGCTGCAGATGGGAATGAAGGAGTTGTTGGTTTCATGGAACAGCAGTGCATTAATGGTTGTTGAAGGTGCTCAGAACTGGAGAAGTCACTGTGGAGTCTCAGGTTCTCTCACAGACCATGGCCAGAGTTACTCAGGAGACAGAAACCACTCCTTCAGCCAATCCCTCAAGCAGTCCTTCCTGGGTCATTCCAGGTGCACTTAGACCCTGCCCTGTGAAGGAATGCCTCAGTGATGAACTAACAGAAATAAAATTATTCCTTACGATGAAAAAAAAGTCGATTCCTGAGCCTGAAGCCTGACTCATTTTGCCTGTTACAAAATGATTTCTGCAGACTTGGTGACTTCTTGTGTCACGGGCAAGTAATAAAAATATTTTCAGTGGAGATGGTGAAGTTCACAGCTAAGGTGAACTTTTTTTCCTGGGCTGATTGACTTGATCAAAGCATTTGAGGAAGATGCAACAGTGAAGTTTGTATCTCCTGGTGTTTAACACAACTATTTTAGTGCTGTATCAAATAACTCCCTCCCTTGTATTTAAAGGATTAGATTTAGTAACATGTGTCTAAGGTTGGTACAGGTTTTTCTTATTTAGAAATAAGTGTTTCCATGCTTTTTGTAATTTGTGGTGCACTTAAAATGTCTCTGCTGCTTTGTGATTCTGTGCTGCACACACATTTTGGGGGAAGTGTCACTTTGTGAGAAATTTTGTGCTGCTTTTCCTGATTTTGAATGAATCTGTTAAGTACCATGAATTAGAAAATTACTTACAGAGTGGAGTTTTCAAGTTTTTATTGTGAAAAGATGGGATAGGCAGAGAGCCTATAGATGATGAAAGTCCTAATGAAGGCTTTTTCTGCAGTGGTGTTTAGAAAGAAATAACTGAATTTATTATTTTTTAAAGTTTTCATTCTGGTGTGCATCCCTCAGAAAGAAGGGGAGAATTGCCCTGCTGAGGAGGGCTTAGAGGAGTTCAATGCTAGGCCTGGAAAACAAACCTTGCAGCTTAAGGCTCAAAAGTTTTTTTCACTTTCTTGGTGCCTGGATTGCTCTGGGTGATTACTGACAAAAGGTAACTGAAGGCAATGAGCCTTTTTGTGTCCTTGACAGAGACACAGAAGCCAAAAAGCAGAATATGTACCAATTCTGTCAGGCACTAAGAAGTCATTTCATAAAAATAAAAGGATCAAAATGTTGGAAGCACTCACCATTAAAATAGAGGACTCATTGTTGGTCAAAGTCTTTTAAGACAAGATTAGGTTGCTTGGTAAAAAATAATTTCTTTGAGCTTCTGGGACATTTTGTGCATAGCCTGGAAAGAGAAGATGATCCTTCCAGAATTGAAATCTGTTAATCTGAGCAAACCTTCTTCAGAGCCCTTGGGAGAACAGAATTGCCTTTGTGGTCTCACCATGTTCCTAATATTGCTACAAAGATCATAATCAAATCTCATGCTTCAACTTTCCAGTGTAAAGGTTCAGGCAGGAATTTTTCCAATATTCAATTAATTAACTCTGTGCTCTGGTTTTGTTTTGCTTCTTCCCCTTCTGTGGAGCACCAGAGAGGGAGAACAGGAGGATTGTAAACACCCCTGCTGATTAAAGACTTGGGTCACTGTCAGCATCCTCCACATTCCCACATGGAATAGCCTTTTTTAACCAGCAGTTTATTGGGAGATTTGATGCTTTATAGAGTAGTAATTAAAAAAAAAACAACTCAACTTTGTGGAGTAATTTGCTGTGCAAATCTTTTGGGTATACCATGAGCAGCCAGTTCCTTGGAATTGCTGTCACTTTTCTCTCACCTGTTGTCTCTACAAGTTTGGAAATTATATTCCAGTTCAGGCTCTTAGCAACCTAATATTTACAGCAAATTCTATATTTTTGAATCCTGCAGGTTGTTAAAGCTGGGCCTAGTAAGAGATTATGTTGAACTATTAGTTACTTTAAATAGGCTTTCAGTGTAAGTTTTAATAGTTTTGTTTCCTCTTAAAGGCACCAAAGTAATTAATAAAAATAAGTCTGCAAGTAATTAATAAAAATAAGCCTGTGCTTTAGGCTGGGCTTTAAAGAAACTTTGTGAAGGTGGTATGAAATGCAGTGATACTGGCCAAAAATTTTATTAAAGGCCACAACTGACTGGAAAATCCTCACGTAAAGAACGTTTCGTACAGGGCAGCTTTCCCAGCAAAAATTTTATTTCAGTTTTACACCTCCAAGCTGTTTCTTTTCCTTTCTAGACTCATGAGACCAGCCTGTCACTGAGGTCCATCTCTCTTTGAGTGGGATGTTCATCGTGTGGCAGAGAGGAGGAAAATCAACCCTTGATAAAGCAAAGCCTTCAAGGCACAGAAAAATTGGCCTCATGTTGATTCCATCACTCTTCTCCTTTTAATTTTTTTTTTCCATTAAAAGAGCATGAATGTTTTGAGTGGTGTGTTTGTCTCTGTGCAGACATTTTGCACAGAGCTTTTTTGCCATGGTGGGACCCAGCAGATCTGGGAGGAGGTGATGCTGTCGTGGGGCACAAGCACAGATGTCACCAAGTGCCAGCTGGATGAGGCATCTGCTATTTCCCCTCCATCACTGCACTGCAGCACTCAAACAGAAGAAGATACAAAGGCCTGAGTGGATTTATACATTTATTGTTGCCACATTTTAAAGTTGTTGGTGGATTTGTGTCCATTACCTTTAAAGAAGTTGTTGCTCTCTTTGCAGATGTTTGAACAATCAGGATGCATAATTAATATTTGTTGATAATCTATGGGACTTACTCACAATAGTTTTATTTGTGGCAGAATTTCAGAGCCTTTCTGGCCTGTCTACAAAAAATAATCCAGGCTAGGGGACAAGGAGCAACCTGGGGAGTGGAAGGTGTCCCTGTAAAGTGGATGAGCTTTCTTTAAGGTCCCTTCCACCCAACCCGGTCTGGAATTCTGTGATTCCATGATATTCCTTGGTTGTTGGCATTTGAACTCAAGGTTTTACCCAGTGTGGTTGACAAAAGCATTGGTAGAATGGTCTTACCATGATCAACAAAGAGATAATAGTAATAATAATAATACTACTACTAATTCTGCATTTGAGAATTATTACCCATAAATTGGAAAAAACTGTTCAAAACAGGCTGATGTGAAAATAGTAATCACTATTAAATGTGTTGGTATAATTTTAGCTCTATCTACTTTGGAGATTCCTGTTTTGAAGTTCCCCTTCTGTCAATATTATAATTTGCTAGAGGTAATAAATCACTTAATTTAAAAAAGTTTGTACATAGATCTTGCAGTGGCTTTCTGTGTTTTCGAGCAGGAGTGAACTTTAATGTGAAGGAACTGACTCGAGTTTCACTGGTTTAAAGGTGTTTTTGAAGGGCCTTTGAAGTGCTTGAAGTAATAAATTGCACCCTCTAGTTATTAGCCTAGAAAAATGTATATTTTGGGAAAAATTTCAGTGGGCAAAATGTCAAAAGTTATTTTTTCAGTTATTTTTCTGACAGTTGTCTTGCTGTGCATTTACTGTATATTTTGCGTTACTGTATATTTTGCATTACTGTATATTTTGCATTACTGTATATTATACATTACTGTATAAACCATTTTATGATCTTGAGGCATTGGGGGTAAACAGTTGGCATTTGTCCTCCAGCTTTCCAGAAAATTCTCGAGCAGCTTGAGCAGATCCAAGAGACAAGTGAGTGCTGGGGCAAGAATTGTGTGAAACTCTGTAAAATAAAACAGATACGGGCAGGGGGGAACACCCTCTTTTACCAATGCTCAGGATATGTTTGTACAGCTGGCAATTTGTGCTCCTTCATATTCCTTGACCTAGAAATAGCCAAGGTTTTAATGCGTTCTTGGAGGGGGAGAAAGGTGTTGTGGAACAGAGCTGCCACATCAAAGGCTCTCCTCAGCCCCTAAAAGGGTTTCCACCACTGCCTTCCTCGGCCCTATCGAACACTCAGCACTTTTCCCACTCAGCCTTTTTTATTAAGAAATGGCCTTAAAGCTTTTATTTATATGAAAATGATAAAAGTGACACAAAGAGTTGAAAAGATCTGTACACTTCAAACAAAAGTCCATCGGGGATGTAATGTAAATGCTGGGTGAGGTGTCTCCATCAGCCCCAGGCAGGCAGCTCAGCTCTCAGCTGCTGCTCTGGGGAGAGTCCTCCCTCCAGGAGAGAGTTACTCTGAGGAGCAGTTTTGTACTAGCATGGGGTTTAAAACTTCCAAAGTCTTGCTGGTGGTAAAAGAAACCAAGTGTTTGATAATCAGTTGCACAGTACAGGTTGATGGCCATCGTGGAGATCATTATTCAGTTTTCCTTCTTAATGCAGGAGGTTTATATTGATCCTTTGTTCTCCAGGGTTCTGCTGGGATTGCTGGAATTCTGGGTCCTGGACTTGATGTTCTTGGAGGTCTTTTCCAACCTTAATAATTCTGTGGTTCTGTGACTTTCTTTCAGCGATGCTAAGCAACACAAGGAAGCAGAAAGAATTAAACCCCAGTTTTTAAAATGCCCTGATTTCCATTAAAATCTTACTTTTATTCCTTTCAGCACCAGCCCACCCTACTGCTGTGTGGATCTGTATTCCCTGAGGACAGGAGAGATGGTCAAATCCATCCAGTTCAAAACTCCTATTTATGACCTGCATTGCAATAAAAGGTAAGGGTGCTCGCTCTGCATTCCCTGTGTGTTTGGGCATGCCAGATTTTGGTAATAAATACAATTTCTGGTGTATGACCTCCCTGATTTTCTGTTTTTCACTCTCCTGTAAGCACAGCTCTGGTTCTCTGTTTCTCAAGGAGTATTTCAGTTGGAATGCATCAGTGTGCTTCCCCCATGGCTTTGGTTTAAGAAGCTCAAACAAAAAAAATCATTTAAGCTTCTTTCAGTTGTGCTAAAGGGTGAGCAGGAATCGCTGAAATCCTCGATGATCCACCTACAGCTGGGGAAATGGGATCACAGGGAGTTTAAACAGCACAGAGCACTAAGGGGTTTATGTCTCTTCTTTGTGTTGCTCTGTCAGATTTTGCCTCCCTGCACATCCAAAACATTCCTGGTGTGCAGTCTGTGGTTTGCAGGGAATAATATTCCAGTGAGTCAAATAACAAAGCAGCATCTTTGGGTTGGGATTGAGAGAAAATGGTCTGGAGGCTGAGGATGGGAGTTCCAGAGGAACAGCAGCTGTTGTGTCCATGGAATCAAATTTTGCTGAGTTAATGTGAAATGCCCACCTCTCCCAGCCACACAAAACTGCAGTTTTGTGGTTTGCTTTGTAGTTTGCCGTGTCTTTTTAAGGCAGAAGAGAAATCCCAGGATCCGTGTGTGGGGATCCTGCTGATCCCTTGGCACTCCTGATGGGAGAATTTGGAGTGGTGGCTTTGGTGCAAGCCCTGCTGACGCTCTGCTCCTTCACCCTCCCGTCAGTGCCATGAGTCAGCGTGGCCTCAGGTGCCCTGGGGGAGTGGTGCAATCCAGTTCCTGGGGTGAAGGTAGAGCCCTGCATGAAGAAATTCCCGCATTTCTTTGGGAATCCATAGTGCCATGCCGGAATGGATGGTCTTTCAGTCAATGACAACACAAATCATTGGGAAATTCAGAATGATTTGGTTTTTGTGCCTGGTTTTGATGCAGATGGGGAATATTAATCAAACCTGTGCAACTAAGTGTAAACTGCTAGTATAAATAAATAGATCAATAAATCCTCTGGAATCTTCCATCTGGGGGGTTCATTTCTGCAGAAAGACAGAGTGTCTTCAAGGGGGAGAAAACAAAAATCTCCAGGACTGAGAAATATTCCCAAATATCCGTAGGTTTTCAATACATACACATTACACTTCCACTTGCAGTCAAAGCTTTCTCATTATTCATTGATTTCCTTTATTTTAGGCAATGTAGAAAAAGTTAGAATTGATGTATTATCTTCTGGTTTTCTCTCTTGCAGTTTCAGCAATTGGAAGATGTCGTTTAAGTAAAATTACTAATGCCTAAATCTAATATATGTTATTTATTTATCTGAAAACATCAGCAAGCATGAGGGGGTGGTGAATATTTTGATTTTAGTGTAGTCCTTCCCAGGTATTGAGCTCTCATGGGATAAGAGGAAGTATTCTTATAGCAAAACAGATAAAAATAGGGAAAAAGGGGTTAAAGGCTGATTTCACACTGCTGGGAGAGAATCATCACCCTTTCCCCAAGGACATGAGCTGAGGCTGAGGTGATTCATCCCTTTTAAAGGTGACTGTTCCAGGCTGTAACACACAGTCATAATGTTCACATGAAGCATTAGGTGTGTGTTTAGTCAGTGAGAGATGTGATTAATTCTTTTTCCATGTTGTATCTTTACAATTAAAACCATTAAAACACTATTTAATAATGCTCTATATTGACAGCTAATTAAAAAATACTTTCTCACAGTCTGCCTAATGAGAGAATAACAGATTATTAATTGTGTCATATTGCTAAATGTAGGTTTTATGTGTTGGTTTCCCAGGTGCTTCTTTCATGTCAGGCTTTTATAAACTTGATTTTGAGAAGTCATCAGTGTGGGAGAAAGTGTTCCCTGGTTCTAAAACTTGCAAGATGCTGCTGTGCTTCCACATTTGCATCTCTGGGCTCTGTTTTTTGAGGCAGCACCATGTTTCCTGTTACCCTGTGGTTTTTGGCCTTTACAATAAAAGTGTAATGTACCAGCAAACACATAAACATCCATCTTTAATATGCTAATTGACCCAAATTCTGCTTCTCTCAGCTCTGTTTGTGTGCTGATGTTCTTGGTATTACACTCCCCCTTGCTTTTAGTAAATAAAATGTTTTAGTAAATCTGCACTGAGGTGGGCAGTGGGATTATTTCACATTTAGCTCTGCTGGTTGTTATTTGAGTCAGTGACAGTAATTCAGGGTCTTTGCAGCTCCATTCTTGCTTTTTAATGGAGCTTTGAGTGCAAGAGCTGTATCACAAAAGTGCTGTGCTGCTGTGGCTCAGCCCCCTGCACTTCCTGCAGTGGAGTTCGTGTGGTTGGCAGGAGAGAGAGCCCTCAATAACTGCCAGGGATTGCTAACCTGGCACTTCATCACTGCAGAGTTTGTATTGATGCTTTTGAAATAATTACATTTAGATATTGAATCTTGAAACCAATGCAGTTAATGGCTGAAGTGGACATTCCATTTCTGTGTTTTCAGGATCCTCGTTGTGGTCCTGCAGGAGAAAATCGCCGCCTTCGACAGCTGCACTTTCACCAAAAAATTCTTCGTCACCAGTACGTACAACTTTGGGCTCAGAGGTGGACAGAACAGACCTTGTTGTTTGTTTCTTTATTTCTAAATCCTCAAAGCAGCTCTCAGTGAATAATCTGGAGCTTCGGGAAAACTTGCTTCAAAAAGAAACCCCAAACCCAAATGGTTTTTTGTGAATATTGAATTCTTTTCTGTATTTATTACTGCTGTAACTAATTGTAAAGGGCACCCACACTGCCATCCATCAGTAGCTGAACAATTCTTTTGTTCATTTCAAATATCTGTAAAAACCTCAGGTGGGAGCTCCAGGTTATCACATCAGCAGCAATTAAACCTATATCAACAGTGATCTACCCACTGTTCATTTTTGGTTGTTCCTTAGGCACACTGGGTTTTTTTATGTGACTTTACAGTTCATAATTTACTTTGGAAAGGTCAGAGTTTTATTATTAAAAAGAATCTGCATTTTGCTGGATGTATTTTCAGTCACAATTAGAAAAGTTGAAATTATTTTTTTATATGATCTCTGTATTTATAGAAGAATCTCCTTAGGAGAAGCTGTTTTTGTCGTAGTTTGAAGGAAAGCAGCTTCCTGCAGTAATATTAAAGTTGCCAATAGGTGTCAGTTTCTTCCTATCCATGGATGTGAGGTACTGGGACTCTGCTGGGATTCAGTGACAGGATCCAAACGAGAAAGGATTTATTTGTGTCCTCTTTATCACTCCCTTTTATTTCATCCAAAAGAATCAGAGTACAAGCCTAGCTTTATTTTAGACCAAAAGTACAGAAAACCTCTCAGTTAAATGTGTATTCTGAGAATTTTTGGGCTTATTTTGTTGTTTTTTTTTTGAAGATACTGCAATTTATTATTTAAAAATTAATGCCCTGAAGTTAATTTTGAGGAGCAGGGATACTTTATTCGTAAACATAAATTTGATTTGCTTTGTGTTTTGTGGAACAGCTGTGGAATTTAAAGAGGAAAAATTAAAACTTCTGGAGATAATGATGAAATTATTTTTTAAAAAGTCCAAAAATTCCTGAAATATCACTAATACCTGCATTTCTCCAGCTGTGCTGCTTTTTAATATTAGAAACTCAAGCTTTTCTGAAACTTTCCTGTGGTTTAATTAAGGACAGCGTCATTTTTGGGGCATTTTGGATGCTGCCAGAGCTGGAGCCAGCACAGCCCTTCCCTCTGGCAGTGCCATGCTGTGAGTGGGCAGAGCTGTGCTTTTCCCTGGATTTCTGGGGTTTGGGACCTGTGCTGAGGATGCCAAGCTCAGCCATTCCCTGCATCCTGCTGCCAGGCAGGTGCTGTGCCCTGGCACGTCGGGGCTGCAGCAGAGCTTTTGTCTGAGCTTCCCCATTTCATGTGCTGAAATCTCCTCGACCTGAGAGTGTATCTTGAAAGGCTTCAATTCCTCTGGTGTGTTTGGAATGGGATGTAAATGAGCTCCCTCGTTAGCTGCAGGGATTTCTGGGAGGCAGCCAACTGGCCACTGCCTTCTTTGGCTGTGCCTTTGAAAAAAATTATTAAAGGACAGTGCCAGTATCAATTAAAAAAATAGAAATCCTTGAAAAGGAAGCTCAGGAAAAGGTCTTGGAGGCCTTTTTGTTTGCATTGTTGGGGCAGCCTGTGTCCTGTCCAGACTGGTGCTGGTGCACCTCAGCTCTGAGGATGTCACTGAGATATTTGACAGCATGAAAAAGATTCTCTGACTGGTTTTGATCAGAAGGGAGGGCACAAAGGGCAGAAATATTACTGAGGATCACTGACTCTTTGAAGGGTTTGGGGTTACTTTTAGGGAAAAGAAAATCTTTATTTTCAAGAAGATTTGGTGATGGTGTGGAAATCACCTCTTCCATCCCTGAGTGGTGTGGGAGCCTTAGAACCTCACTGAGACAGAACAAATGTGAAGCAGAAGCTCTGGTCTGTTTTGTTGATTATTTATACATAGAAATGAAATGCAGAATGTCCAATTAAAAGCAGTGTCAGGAATTCTGAAGTTCCTCAGAAATGCTAATGCAGCTGCCGTGCACATGAGGAGTATTTGTCTTTCTGTTTTTGTTTTTGTGGTTGGATGTGTAGCTTAATATATTGTTACAATAAATATACCATAAAATATTCAGGATGTAGATGGACAAGTTCGTGCTGCTGTTGGAATGTTTTAACTCCTGCATTTCCTGATTTTTCCTGAGCAAGTTTGACACAGGACCAACCTTTGTTTTCCCCTGCTTGGGATTACATGGAAATGTGCTGATTTGACTTGGATGGCAGGGAGCCAGAATGTTTTATTTGTGCCTTTTGTCACACTGAGGTAACAAAACCTCAGTGTACAGGTGCTCCAGACTGGGAGAGGCAATTTAAGACAGGTGCTTAAACGTGGAGGGAAAACATGCTGTAACTATTGTAGAAAAATTACCAGGATATCCCCTAATCTAGCCTGTGGGGTGTTCTGATTTTTAAATGTCTGCTAGGAGAAGGCAGAACATCAGTCTCATGGCAGTCACTTCCATCCATCACTGCTCTCCTGCTTGGAGCCAGCTCCTTTTCCCTAGGAAGAGACACCAAGGGGAGGAGAAAAACCAGTGCAGGATGTGAAATTCCTGCTGGGCTAGGTGCTCATGTGGCCAAATTAAAGAAAAATTCATTTGATGCTTATGTTAAGAATGTGTTTCCTTTCCTAACTGAGTGTCAAGGTGTGGATTTTAAATAGCTTCTGAAATAGCTCAGAGTTTAATTGTGCTTCACTTCAGATTTCCTTCAGAGCCTTTTCTGCATGTGACTGAAGGATCAGAAACCGAAGTGATGCACAGAAACCAAAGTGATGCACAGAAACCAAAGTGATGCTCAGGCTTTTTTTGCCCCTACTTTGCTCTAAAGAAAAACTGCAGAAAAGCTGAATTCCATTGATTTGCATTCCATCAGTGCTCCTCACCCCAAAACTGCTTACTTAGTGCTGATCATGAATATGGCCTGATGGATCCTTTCCTTCTCCATAAAGAACATCCTGCCCACCCCCTGGGCCCTGAGGAGAGATCCTCCCAGATAACATCATGCATGTGGCATCATCCCTGTGTCCGGTACCGAGGGCCTGCTCAGCTTCCCTGGCCCTTCTCTGCTCATATTGATGCATTCTCCATCCAGGATCCCCCAGGGATGGAGGCAGTTATTGCAGCCATTAGCTGGCACCACGTTGCTATTGATGCTGTTCTGTAGAGCCCTGAGAGGTAATTTTGCAGATTTTAGTCAGAGTAGTTTATTGTATAGAAAGCCTGGAAAGGTTTTCCTCACCCCCTGCCGTGGTCAGCTGTTGTCTCTGCCCCAGCAGGGGAAAAGGTGGTTCTGGGCAGGCTGCACTTTGAAGGAGGAGTCTGGACTCTTGCTTTTGGTCTTCAGTTGAGTTTATTGTTCCTTATCTACAGAGTTTTTCTGTCTGTCCAGCCAGGTCTGATCAGCAAGACAGCCAAGGGCACTCTCTCCCACCCACGGGGTGGTTGTCTCTTTTATAGTGAAAACTACATATAAGATATTTACCTTCTATTTCCAATACTTTTCACCCTTGTTGGCAAGTGCACTTTCACCATGAACCAATCCACACGTGCCAGCATCATCCTGAACATGGATGCCAAGGAGAAGAAAGAAGAAGGACAGGGCACGCCCAAATCCCTCCATCTTGGAACCCCTGACCCCCATGTACAGGATTCCAAACCCCCCTGTACAACATACAAACCCCCCCTGTACAGTGCTCCAAAGTTTTTCCCTTCACCCTGTGATTGCTACTACTGTGCTGCTTAAACTTTTGTGGCCTGTAATTCTTTATATAAGGTGGGCAATTTGCTCCATGAATTAAGATGGAATTTCCAGGTGTCTTTGGCTTCCTGGCAGGGTGTCCGAGCCCCTGGCAGGGCTTTGAGCCATCCAGGGCATCCAGAGAGATGTCCTGGGCTCCGACAACCCCCAGCCAAAATCAGTCCGTGGATGTTGAATGAACCTCTCCAAGTGAAGGAAACCCCCAAAGCAAATGGTGTTGGGTGCCCTGAGCTGCAGATTTGGGATTGGATTTGGGATTTGGGATTGCTGTGTGCTCTCACATTCACACACAAGGAATAATTTGGTGGTTTCACTTTGTCGCTAGGCTGGTCTGGAAATCTTCAAGGATTTTTGGACATTTCTGTTGGAATTCCTTCCCCCGTCGGGCTCGCAGGAAGCAGCTCGAGCTCTTGACTTTGAAGTAAAAACACTGGGTGTCTTATGGAGAGGTTTAATGCCTGAAGAGTCACATTCTTCAAGAAGTTGTGTGTGTTTCCCTCCTCAGCTGTGGGCATTTCTCCTGGTTATCCCACACGGGATAATCATTGACAGGATTCCTTTGTCTGTGGGGGACCAGCTCCGATCGAAAGTCCTCGGGGCAGGTGGGAAGGGAGCTCCTGAGTCACAGGATTTTCTTGATCAGTGAAGAAGAGCCAAGTATGTCCCTGTGGATTGCTAGAAGCACTTTTAATTTTTATACACCCACATTTATATCAGCACCTACCCCTTCATGGTGTTTTAACCTGAGAAATGTTGATTTAATTTTGCTTTTTCTTTTTAATAGCATTATTTAGAAGAGTGTTTTTTCCCTGGCTGTGGGAATCAGTGTCTCACCATTCCAGGATAAGGCTGAAACACTTTTTGGAGAGATATTTAGGGCACCGTGGTGGATTTCTGAGAACAAACAGCTTTGGTGCTTGCAGGAGGTTTTGCTCCACTGCAGGAAAATGTAAATACAACAGAAAAGCTGCATAAAGCCACAACAGAGGCCTGAGTCCCCAAGATGTCTGTCTGTCATATCTCCAGGCTCTGACAGTTTTACAAATTAAATGTAAAACAGGAAGTGCTCTTTGTTTCTATATAAGTTATTTTTATCTAAAGCACCCAAATCCTTAATGTTAAAGGGCAAACAAAGCCATCTGACATTGTCCTGCACAGAAACAACAACCTCAGTGGCAACTTTTATTATTTGTCACTGTCCAAGTCTGG